GGTAGCACAGCACACAGAAACACACCATTTAAAAATGCTGGATGGTTTGGCTTTACAGTTGCGACATTCTATACAGCATTTTCATAGAGAGCAAACAGTGGATGAAGAAGACGATGCAGCTATGCTTGCAGCTTTTCGTAAAATTACGGCTTTTGCAATGCATGTTTTCTATATTTGATCTTTGCAAACTTTTACTTGTGCTAAGAGGAGAGGAGACGAAAGAATTTTTTTTTAGGTTTGAAGATTTGAAAAAGTGGCAGTTGTGGGATGTCGCACTTAGTGTGCTGACAAATGCAGACGATAAACAAGTATCACGGGATGTTGGCGAGAAAGCCGTTATTCTGCTGTTTGCCACTTTAAGCTGGGATATAAATCGTTTGGTTACTGAACAGGAACCAAATAAAGCGGTTAATTGTTGTTTCAGATTACTTTTATTCTTTAACATGTGGTTTTGTTCCAGGTATGATTGAGAATATATATAACTAAAGTATGGTACTAAAGGAGCATTACGTGAAATCTAGCTTGTTTATATCTAAAAAGTAAGTAGCTGAGGAAGGTTGTTTTCGATGTTTTAAACATTTCAGGAAGCAATAAAGAAATTGCGGAAGCATAGGGATCAGTTCACTGCATTGGTTACATCAATAATGATGAGTGGTGCATCGGGTGTTGAAAATGTCAGTGATTTTATTTCTTTTGTTTATGTATTCAATTAATAACGGTGTTATCGGTTTGACCACTCACAAATTGAAGGCATTCTTGTGTTTTGTGGATGCTTTAATGATGTTCAATGGACTACCTGATAAAAGTTTGTCAATTGAATTGAATAGAGATATTACGCGAGCACTTTCAATGTTTGTAGAAGATAACGTTTTTGTGGAGGAGAATGATGCAGGTAAAACATTTTGGTCATTCTTAGCAATCACTTATATAGTTTTAAAGGAACAAATTTAACTTTCGCTTAAGTGTTTGTATTGAAAAATTGAAGATATAGGGATAAAACATGGTTGCAAAATCTGTTAATGTATATCCTTGAAGTGTCCACTATGGTTTAAAATAGAATCATTTTGATTCTTTTTGGTTTATATTTGTTGATGATAATAGTGATTTAGAACGATCTTTGGATCAACAGACGCAAGTGGAGCTAATGCATAAGCGGCGCAAAATATTAGTTCAATTTTGTAAGCTGATATTGCATGGTATCCTTCCAATTTATGAAGCCTGCATAGTATTACAATTCTATACAAAGGTACTTGATTATTGGTGCTTTTTAGCTTAACTGTTTATTTTGATTTCAAGCTCATATTCGCACATTCTTATATATAATTACAGTTTTATACCGACTTTGGTGATATTTTAAAAACTTTACTTACAAAATGTCGTGATATGGACCGTTTGAGTTGTGCAAGAGCAGTAGCAACGGCGCTTTGTCATTATTATGAGGAAATCAAGGTATGACGCTCTAAATTTAGATGGTTTTACTTAGTTCCTTCATTTCACTGTTTGCATTTTTAAATCATTATTTATGAAGATTTTTTGTGAAATATTCCTTTTTTTTTTTAACTTTCAGGTAATGATTATGTCTTATTCTAACCTTTCCGTTTTAGCGTGCTTCCGAAGGGAATTGTATCGATCCAAATTCAGATGATTTTGCTTCCATTCGTGATCTGGCAAAGCGTTTTTCCAATCTGTTTGGTTCCGATCCAGTTAAAAGTCGTGAAGCTTTAGCTATTATTCATAAGTAAGATATCTAGACGATATTTAACTGTTACGTCTGCTAGCAATACCAAATCGTTAATTAAGTCCAAAAAGTTTAGCGACTGAATTTTCAGGGATGGTATCGTGTTTGCTTTAAGAAACGATGAAAGCATAAATCGAGATATGCCGCATACAAATCTAAGCTTTCTCGAAATTTTGTGCGAATTCAGCAGCAGATTACTCCGACAGGACAAAATTTCTGTGTAAATCTTTGTAGTACAGAAAAAAAAAAGAAATGGATTCAAGAACTAAATAGCATTTGAAATGTTGCGATATGTATTCCAGTACACTGAGGAGTGTTTTGATCTATAACCGTCAGTGATGGTAGATGAGTCAATAAAGTCGTTCTTAGATTAATTAAAGGAACAAGCTTTTGCTTCTGAGTTTCTATCTTAACTTTTGTCTGTTTTCAGTCTTCGATATTTGGAAAAACATGGTGAAATGTATGCTAAAGAAGAACCATATATAATTTATAAAGCCTCTTTACAAGTAAAATTTTAATATTCTTCATTGTTTATATTGTATCATAATGTCTAAAGGCATGGAGATAGTAAATAGTCAGAAATTGTTCCTATTGGTTCCTAAATTTGATAGTGTGTGTATTAAAATATTCAGCTGTATAATGACAGAGTAAGCGAGCAACTTGTAAAATAAAACTCATGTGTTCATTTTGCTTTACCACAGAATTAATAGTGGCATCATTTTGACTTTGTATATAGATAAAAATTTACCAAGAAGAGTTGGATAATGTTTTGCCAAAAAAAAATTAGCTTTTAGGAGCGTACTGACGATGTTTCGACTGTTCGTAATTTAGCTCTAAGGGGGCGGAGTCGAGGTCGTGGACGAGGGAAGAGTACGCCAACGTATACACCAGCAGCATCTGTGTATGGAGGCGATGACTAATTTCGAAGTCAAAGAAATTAACGAAAAGGCCATTTGCTTTTTTTTAGTGAGTTTTTTAAATTGATGTCAAAGTACATTACTGTATGGAGAAAAATATGACTCTGTTTACTTCTGTCAGTAGTTTTGTTCGTTTTAAGTGAGCTCCAAAAGTGGAAGCGATGTTCATGTTTAATTCAGACATGAGCAGTCCTAACTGTTATCTAAATCTTAGTAAACATATGAATTCGTAAGTTACCAATTCTATTATCTACCCAGTAATTCACTTATCTATTCTCTCAAGTAGTGTAGCAGTTTTTTTAGCAAAAAAAAAAAAAAAATCCAAATCTAACTCCTCATGATCTATGTAAATCACTATTTTGCATAAAGCTATTCAATATTTTATTATTGTGAAAATCGTGTTTCCTGTGCAAAAGAAAGTATCTTGTTTCCTCTTTGTTTTTATTTTTATTTAAATGTCAGCAATTAGTACACTTAGTTTAGATGTATATTTTGTTAAGTTTGATTCATTTAATTGGGTTCTTATGAAAGTAATTGTCGGTTTGATCTATGTTATTTAAAGAATGTCAGCAAACTTTTGCCCTAGTTGGAATGAATGATGATTAATGATGCGTTTATATTATCTGCTTTTATTGCACGGCAGTATGTATTACTTGAGAATTATTGTCTAACACATATTATTTTGATGTCATCAGGCGATGTTATGTGACTCCTCATCATTTGCCTCTAAGAATTGTACTTTCATGTGTGTTTTACTGTACCTGAAGATTTGAAATCTCGAATACTGGAAAAAGGGACTTTCAATTCCATTAAAAATAGATTTTAAAGCCATTTATATTTTTATAGCTTTTTGCATTTCTGGTTTTTATGAAGGAGAATTCCGTATTATTAATAGAGATAATCTATGATATGGTGTTGCTTTATTTCATTATTCCACTATAGTTTGTCTTGAAAGTTTTAGCTTGTGACAGAATATACTTTCCGTGTATGTTTAAATTTATATGTTAATGGGGATAGGCTGCATACAGTATTATGTAGCATGCCATATCAGAGAATAATAAGCGATTGGTGGTTACAAGACGGAATACATCAATTTATCACATTCTTGCACTTCTAGATGGTTTGTACGTCCATTCATTTACGTCATGTCATGTATCTCCAGTCTTTTTGTCATTTACTGCATGTTGCAAATGCCTTAGCGATATGAGAAATGGATGTCAGACTAGGAGGTCCCCATCATTTGTCCATGCTAAGCTAATTTTCTGATTATTTGCCAAGATGATTTGCTTGATTTCTACAATGGAACGTATGATCACTGCAAATGCACTGTAGATATGCTGTGCTGTAACAGCATTAAGATAACATCTGGTGACTGGTTTATCAAAGTATCTCTGCTCGAAATTTGCTGTAATATACTTTGCTTGTTCTTAATTAGCTATTTAACAAATACTGGAAGAGCAAAATTTTCGGGAATTGCGAAACAAATTGAAAAGTGGAGAAGGTGCAAATAATGTGAGGTAATAATATGATGACGTCGATACTGTTGCTGCACTGATAAGAGACAGAGGAACAAATCCACCGCATCTGTCATATGCGAACGGACTCTTGCGGTAAATCTATGTCCGGATGGCTCCATGCCAGTGTTTGTCTGGCCCTCAGTCGTTGCAGATTATTCTTCCTGCCGGCATGCCTCTGAAATTTGTCTGAAATCTGACCAACAGAAAGATAACTTCTCGGTGTCTTTCAAATTATTGTTGGTAGAATGGATAATTCAATTTTGGTCACAATTTTTATGTACTTTGGCTAAATTGTTCTGCCAATTTCTTTTATACCTGATGGAAAAAAGGTGGTGAAGGATTGATTTGATGGGTCATAAATGTTCGTAATCTCTGTTTTTCTTTATTTAAGTGTATCTGAGTGCATTAAAGTCATACGTTTTCTAACCATCAATACTTTTTTTCTTAGAAGGGAGTGGATAAAAAGGCTTTCTGTTTACTTAAAGTAGTTTTTCGATTTCGTAATTTTAAAACATACAATTTCAGTGCTAGAGAAAAGTTATAACGAAGAGTATATGGAAACATCATTTGATATTGCTGTTCAGGGAAATGTCCCAAAATATGCGGCCGGGATGGAACAGACATCCATTCTTCAGTATTTTTTCTTTTTCATTTCAACTTCCCATTCTTTCTTATTAACTGTTGCTTGCTGCAGACTGATGTACTAATTATTACTCCTCCAAGGATGCTGTTGTTTTCTTCCATTATTATGGTTGCCACTTATTTACTGATTCTACGTCTATAGTTTAAAATAAGAAAATTTTTAAAGTTTGAAAATTTCAGAAAATTATGGATTTATTGATTTTTGAACGTAAGCGTGGAACTGTAAGAAATTGTAAAAGACCTGTATCTGTTCCGATTGGTAAATATTACGGGATATTGAGAGGTGAACAAGTTATAGTGTCAGATTTGAAAGCAGCAGATGATTTAAATGCATTTGGATGTTATGGTGAATTTTTGCAACGACGTGAGCCACGTGTATCAATGGAATGTTTTGAAAGTAATGCTCATCAACAACACCAGCAAAAAAGGTGCATTTAAAAACTTTACCTCACTGATTGTTTTAGTCACAATAATCTCAGTTAGCAGTACGTTATCAGATTTACTTTTAACGAAACCTTGATTATTTGTTGATGTGAAGCATACTGCTACTAGAAGACAAGAGAAATTTGTAACTTTAAATTTCTAGTTTTTTTTTAGTTTCCTTGTACCTTGAAAACTTCTCAAAACTTTAACTCCTGATATTTGAGAAAATCGTGATTTTCTCGTTAATTTAAGGTATCTGTAAATAATTTTTCTACTTGTTCCAACTTTTTTGTTGATTATTTTTATAATGCTACAACCAATTATTTCGATTCCTGTCTCCATTTCTTTATACTTAAAATTTTTGTTCTTCTAGTTGAAATATCTTTCAGTTTTGTTTTGAATTGTACTTTTTAGTGTCTTAAATTGATGCTAGCTATTTTATTACTATTTTCATTACTATTTTATTTCGACATGGACAGACGAAAATTTTTACTCATGCTTTCCTTACTTGGTGAAATCAAATTGGCTGATAGGGTACGCAGCACTGAGATAAATTAGACGATCATCAAGTAGTTTCAAATTTGAATAAAATTTTTTCTCTAATATGTCAGATTTTTTTGTTTTTAATCTTACTGCTCAAATTATGTTCATTTTCCATAAAGCCACTTCTTTCAAACATTGTCGGACTTATTTATCATACTTATTTAATTGAACATTTTCTCTCTTTAACAGTAGGAATGTGTCGACTACTCAATCAATGAAGCAGTTTTTCTTCTTTCTGATGTCTTAAATGATATTCCATGCCATTCATTTCTGTGATTATATTACATAATCTGAGATAATGTGAGAAATAATTGGTATTGCTGAAATTATTACAATAGTTAAACGATTAAGTTGACTTACTACATTGGAATTTATATTTGGAGTACTTTTTAAACCAGTAGATGATATAAGACTGATGGAAAGATACTTCTGCAACTTTCTAATCACTTTCATCCTATATATCTTATCTATTTTATTTAATATAAAGATAACAGAGAAACAGTGTACACAACAGTTAAAAAAAAAAAAATCTATCACTGATTTTCTGTGTTTTGAAAATCTCTTCTAAAGTCGTGGTTACAATAACTGATAACATAGTCTTTGCATTAATCATTAAATATTAATTTGTTTTCTACTCGTTATTAACACTCTTCCAAAGTCGTTTTATTTTGTATTATTAATAGTTTCTCTTTAAAATGTTCTTAAATTTTAAAGGCTCGTCAAATCGAGAAATAGCAGATAGGACGCATCGACCCAGACAAATAGTCTTTTTAGAGACTTGTCACAACCATTATTTTGTTAAATTTTTTTTTTTTTTTGTTAAAACACAATCATTATTAGTAAAACATATTTTTCTTGTGGCTTACTGTTTTCCTGTTACCTTTTTTTTTCCATTTAGTTTTGTTCCATTATACCAATATCAAGCCAATTAACTGCTTTTAAATGGAAAATTGCTTCCCAATCCATGCATATTTAGCCCCATTTCAATCATGCTATCTATTCATAGCTGTGAAATTATGCCATAACAGCTACCATCCTAACTTTTGTTTGTGTTTTTTTTTTGTATTTTTTAATTTCCAATACATTAATATAAACGTCATCGATTAGATTCCAGGCTTTTTCTTTTCTTTCTCCCTTTCTCTCTCTCTCTCCCTGTCTTTTCCTTTCTATAAATTCATTAATAATGAAGATATGAAATTAGATACGAACATATATTTTATATTATGCTTTTGTAGTTGATTTGGTCTTCGGTCGATGAAAAACTTAATTGATAGGAATGATTTTATTGCAATTTCTTACCACAGATGCAATTTAATGTAGAAAGGAAAGTAGATTTTTATGAGAGATTCGAATCCACAACTTTTTTAAATACAAATTACTGTGTTTATACGATATTCAATATGTGTAAATTTGATAATAAGCTAAATTTACAGGAGCGGAGTAGGTACTGTAATGGAGAGGATCGAGTATGGACTATCTAGTACCCATTTATCAACTTCTTGTCTTATCATAAGCGTCGCTTATCATTTATCAACCTTTTCGTCTGATATAATCGTCAGCACAATTACATTTGTCTGCTTACTTCTTCCCATTTCTTTCTTATTTTTTTTCCTATGCTTATTATTGAGTCGATGTTTTTCGAAAATGAAAAGCTTGAGAGACACTAAAGATTTTTATTGAAGTATTAATTTTTCTTGTTTACTTTCGGTAATTTAGATAATTCTTGTTTACTTTCTGCTTTGATGGTGATCTCTAACCGAAGTAGAATGACTGTTGTGATACTTGATAGCCGTTTATCAGAAATCAAAACTTGTTTGACAAGAAATGACTTCCAATTGTTATTTAGCATTCATATTGTTGAATTGTTAATAGCATTATCCGGATCTCATCAAAATTTATTGAGTTTTGCCAATGAAAGTGTAGCAAGTCGTGGAAATGTCAATCATCTGTTTTTATGATACGTTAGATCCATGATCGGTCATTTTCTGAAATCAGTATTCATGTTTTCTGAACTTTGACACAAAATGGAAATAGTAACTGTGCTTTCAGCTCGTTTTTGCGTAGACTAAAAAAAATCGTTAAATCATATAGAAGTATTTTTAATAGATAGTAACCAAAACGACACCTTCTTGATTTGAGCATGGCTTTTGGTAAAACAGAGTTGCCAATACCATTGTCCAACAATTGAAAGAATAGTTATCCAATATTTGGTCTTTCAATTTTTTATCTGCTCATTTGTCTGCATCATTTCTCATTCAGAGTTATCTCCTATTCACTTCTTCTGTTAATGCAGGTGTAGAAACAGCAATGTTGCACTCGCTACATCTCGGGAATATGTAGATGTTCTCTTCTCTACTATGATTATTAATCTTAAAAAAAAAAAGAAAATGATTGTTCCATGTAATTATCATGAAAGGATTTGGCGCAACTGCCTTTTGCAATGTTTAGTTTGTTCTAAGTGCTTTTTCTCTGATTGTTTCTAATTTTTTTTTAAAACCCACTTTGGTCTGACATTTAAGGCCTTTTTAAGCACCTCCCTATTTTGACTGGAATGATTCGTGCAGAATCCTTCCCAGCTTCTTTATTTTTCCTCTATTTCCTTTCTACAATTGATGATGCTAATGTTAACAACAGTCTCTCCATATTATTTGAAAGAAAAAAGCGACTTTTTATAAAGCTTTCGTGATTGGAAAATTTTTTTTACTAATTTTATTGCTCAGAAAATACGTTAGGGTATTTTAGATCAGCTAAAATTTGGAAAAGATTATGGCCAACTGATAACTCTCTTCGTCTGAGTATGGAGGAAGCAATGTATCTCAGTGCGGAAATCGGAGTCTTGCAAATATCTGCTGATAACGGACAAGGATGTATGCCGGATGAAGTCTGGAAGACATTCTTTGGTTGTTATGGAATTCGCTTTGTGAGACGCTATGCAACTTACCGGTATTTTAGACGTCAGGGTTGGGTCGTGCGATCTGGCATTCATTGCGGGGTGGATTTCATGCTCTATCGTGATGGGCCTGAATATTATCATAGCAGCGCGGCGGTTCGAATTGTTTCTAAAGGAAGTAAACGTGATGCATCAGCCTTTATCGCACTTAACAGGGAGTTGAATAGTATAAAGAAGACATTGATAGAAGTAATAGTGGTTGTTCCTGAAGACTGTAATATTGAGAGCATCGATTCCATCCGCTGTATTTCTGTTATACACTCCAGTGCCCTCACATGGAAGACGTCTGATGATCGATGATTTTTTTCTTCTCGGAAAATTAACTCCAAATTTTCCAAAGATCACACTTATGAACAAATAAATGAACCATTTGAAAGTTATGAAAAAAATGTCATAATAAAATACATTTACTAATTTCTTAATATTTTCTTGGATAGTGTGCTTGATGACTGCTGGATGATTTAAAGATATCCTCATCCAGTGTTTTAAGGCTGTCTTAACTCTTTTAAAACTAGCCATCAAAAGTAACCGAATCCATATCAAAAATTCTTTCTTTTTAGTAGTTGTCGCTTAAGTTCTTGCAATGAAGATTAATTTCATTTGTGAGACTTAACAGTGTTTCTCAGACAATGATTACTTCTAATTTTTCAACTACTATTTTTGTACCGTTATTTCTATCAATGTTGCCATTTGTTTTAGTGTATATCAAATGAAAAGGTAGCAGAAGTGTGTGTGTCATGGTGTTAAAGCCATTTTGCATCTTGCTTGCTTCTTGTCTTTTGAGTCAACCTTGCTTTGCTGAGTATGACTGTGTACTACACCATATTCATTCATTTATGTTATTTTAAAAAAGTAATGTGATTTTCTGTTGTATAATTTTCGTTAATCATAAAATCATTTGCTAATTTTTCTCGTTGATTTTCGTTTGGCACTACAATTTCCTGAATTCGCTTTTTAATTTCAATTGTTATCCAATCTAATAGCTTCAGTTTCTTCAGATTTAAGCTTCATTTGTTATATTATCTTGGGGATAGGGTTTAGACTGTTATTTTAAGAAATAATTTTAATATTCGAGCCATATATGTAGTTGTTTGGGTAGATTAAATAAAAATTCGAGAAAACAGTTCCCTTCTCAGTGCAATGAATGTGCAAGTTTACGCCTGACATGATCGGAAAAGAAGAGGCGTTGGCTTTGGATATTCTATTTTTCATTTAGCATTGTTAAATTTCTGTCTAGTTTTGAAAGTAGACGAAGAGTTATTTATCCCGTTCAGTGACCGGAAAAGAGAAATCATTGTTGGGCCGCGTTAAATCGGTCGTAATTTTTTATACCTGGGCATTGTTGGTGTACATACAGCATTTTTGTTTGTAACATTTCTCTGGGGTGTTGTCAAAGTGGATGGAACGGAAAGCAGGAGGATTGAGTTTTTTCTGTTAAGTGGGAATTTCTTATTCTTCGAGCGGAGCTGTCATACTCTTGAGCTCTTTTGTATTCAGTGATATGCTAAAAATGCATCTATCTCCATTTAATATGCAGTACAATTTGTTGTCGTAAACTTGTTTTGAATTAAGAAGCTTCTATCGTGGATGATTTAAAGATTTATGATGTGTGATAAAATTAAATTCTATAGTAACGGAATATGCTTTAAATAATTCTAGTGTTTTTGATATATTTATTCTTTATTCTGTATTTCCTCATTCTTTCCCACTTTACCATCTTTCCTGTTCAAAATCTATTACGTCTCCAAGCGTTCCTCCAATTTCTTCTGCAAATTAAGAAATATTAGTTGATTTTTTTTACAGATTAAGGAAGGATAATTTTACAAAATGCCTTTGATCGATATGGCAGAAGCTGTAAGCCGTGGAGACATTATTGTCGACGAGGTAGATGCCTTGAATGCTGTAAATTCTGGGAAATTGAGTGAAATTGAAACTGCTCGATTTAGTCCATTGGTTATTGAGCATTCACGACGACGAAGTAGCGGAAATGGCTCTATAATTAATCATGCAGGTTGCTTTTTTTGAACCCATGAAGTAAATTTTTATTTGCTATTTTGTTATTTCCATTACTTTACCACATATGTTTATGAGAAGCAGCTGGAAATCAATATTTATAGTTCGTTCAAGAGAACTGTAAATATTAAACATTGATTTTAGCTCTAAACTTTCTAGAATAACTAAAGAAGCGTTAAGGCAAATGTTGCAGACATTCATCACTTGCATTTCGTATGCAGTGTTATTTGTTTACTGCTAACAGTTACGTTAATAAGTTTTAATTATCTTTTTCAGATCCATTACCACATTTAGATGGTACTGAGCCAGGAGATACAAATGGGGCTGCAGGAAGTGATGATGAACATACATGGAACAATGTATTGGTGGATGAAGTTGATTTCGTTCATGCTGTTGAACGGGGTCGTATTAATGGGAATGATTTACATATTATGGGCTGCCGAAGCAGTGGTTAGTTTAGAAAAAGAAGTTATCGCAGCACGATGGTTTTGTCAAGATTGATAATTTAGAATTTCATATTTTATTCCAACGTCTGAATTTTCATACCAGTAATTCCAGTACAGTACGGATGACTGATATTCGAACGAACTGTATTCAGGATACTCTTTCTTTACACTAAGTTCATTTGAAAAGTGAATTGAGTTTAGAACTGTAAATTATATTTTATTTTGATATTGTCAGATGATACATGGATCCCTCAGCGTGTGGTAGATGATGTGGAAGAATTTGGTGATATTTCACATGATGAAAATGGTTGGAATAGAGTTTTGGTTGATGAAGTTGACATTCTTCATGCTGTCGAACAAGGATCCAGGATTGTTAACCGTAGTGAATGTCGTCTCAGTTATATACATCGGGGTATGTTTTAGATTTATTAATTGAGAGTGAAGATGCTTTCTTATACTTTTGACTATACTTGGGCTTCGGACATAGGTTTAAATTGCCGAGTCTGCTTGACTAGATTTCTGAAGTCTTCTTTATAAGTTTTCGGAAATATAGATATGACACTATCACTTATCTGAGTCATTCGCACATTACGTTTGTTAGTTTAATTTGTCTTTGAAATGTTTTTGCTAGTTTAATTTGTCTTTGAAATATTATTTAATTAGTTGTTGATAGGTTTTTATTTAATTTTTAACAGAAAATGGAACTGAGAGATCTGAAAGGAACAGTAATATAATTCAAAGAGAGGAATCAACAACAGTGAATGTGGAATCATCTTTTGAAATTGATAGGACGATTGGTACTGGCCGTCCAGGTAGAGGCAAACAATAATTTTATCGAGTGCCTTATTTGATAACTTTTTCTCTTAATAGGTTTGTTGTTCGCTTATTCTGTTGTTATTCTTATTTTTTTGTGGACATCAGCCATGTTTAAGAATTTTCATAATGTCTGACTTGTTCAAGCTTTGTTAGTTTTAAGTATGATATCATATGATGAGGCTAACATTCTACTTTATTCATTTAAAGCACAACATGTATTTGTCCGATCGCTGCTGTTTCATTTCACTCATGAAGTTTATCAATGTTTTATAGGCAACCCTTTCCTTTCACATCTTATTCGTCTACCTGTTCTTTTTGGAATGTTATGTTAATGGCTGCTAGATGATATTTGGTTTGTGGAGAATTCTTCTTTCGCGCTAATTACCTTCACCTTCTGGTAATGAATACTAGCTAGTTGAGTTGAAAATAAAGGTGGAGAAATAGCGTGAGCTGATCATTAGGGGAGTGACTGATTATTGGATGTTGTGTTCGAAATCATGTTGACATACATGATTCATTGCTGTGGAAACTTCATGTAACTGTGGGTATTGTTCTTACTTGTCATGCATCTTTTATACATCACCATGTATTGTTTCTAATTCTACAAATTACGCAAATGAAATAGTAATTAAATCAGTGAGCACGAAATGCTAGACAGCTTAAGGATGAAGCAACATCCATTTTGTCTGTATAAATGATTAGTTTTTCAGCATTATTGTAAGTTGGCAGAGCTCAAAATATCTGTTTGTTTATTCGTTATCTAATGTGGTATTTGTTTTTGTAACCATCAGAAAATGTCTTTCACCTGAACTGCTGCGTAATTCAGGTTGGTTGCCTGAAATCTTCTCAACTTTCATAATTTGCTATCTTTCACTCGTTTTATAATTGTTACTGTTTTCGATAATTTTTCTCTAGATCAAATTTTTAAGTAGACATCATAGCAGAAAAATGCCTTCTCTGCATTGGCATATACCACAGTATTTCTATAACTTACTGAAAGGAATTTTCTAAGAAGCTTTATTTTAGAAGGATTATAAGACTTGTTGTACTTATTTGCTTTGAAAAAAATTGACTGAAGCGAATTTCTGTTTTTGACAAACATTGAATGGAGTTCTTCCTATTTTTTATTAGATTATTCTCGTGAAGTTTTTCATTTTGGTGGTTTATAATGATATTAAAGTGGCTGCGCATGTTATGGTATTACGCGATATGCTTATTTATATTTTATGTTGGAATTTTGCATAATTTTGCCTAGATGAGTATTCATTATCCTTATTCTTTATCTTTATTTTGCTTACAGCAAAGTTTTGGTCGTGGCGCGAATTCGTTTATTCTTCAGTCTGTTCTGTTTTATAAAAACAGTCATTTGATTATACATGTGTTGAGAGCATTGCAGATTAATCTGCTGTGCTATGAATCAGTCAGTAAATTTTTCTTGGACCATATTAGCATTTGTTATGGCAGTCTATGATCTTCTTCATTGTTTATTATTACATAGTCATTTTATATCTTTAGAATCATGGTGATTAATTTTAAGGAACACCAATTAATGGAAAACGACCATACTCCAAATAATCAGTAGTGGTGTTTTGGATATCTTTAGATTCTTAATTTTAATGTTATTTGACCTGATAGGAATTTCCAAAATAAATTGAAAAAATGTAGCACATATTTGGATTCAGACAACTAATTTTGTTGCTCCGTAAATTAAGGGATTGAAATCTGAAATAAATTATTATTCGCATTTTCTTAATTTGTTATTAAGAAAAAATGAATTTCCTAACAAATAAAGATTAGTGACATGTAGAGATTGTGTTAGCAGGGTCTCTTTAAACACTGGCAATACTGTACAAGAGGCTCTTGGTTCGAAATGTGCTTGGGTTGGTTTGATTCAGCGATTGCAATTGTCTAACAAAATTGTGATATCAATTGCAATTAATATCACAATTTGCATTTTGCTGATTAAATAAGGATATCAATAGATGATGATGCATCGGACATTTTCTCGTCATCGGTTAGGATCTCGTCATGGAAACTTATTTTTGCTTCTTCAGTATCGCCCGGCGAATCTTTAAGGACTTCTGTAAGCGTTTATTTCTAATATTTGAATTAGAATGGTATATTACCGTTTGTTTATGTTTTAATCAATTGTAGATTAACCACTTAAATCTTAGAAGCTTTACGAAATGAAAAACTTTGCTTTATTCGCCGTTAGTCGAAATTAAAAAGCTCTGTTACATTATGCAGCATACTTACCTTTATTAATAGATGCTATGTGACTGTCATCCTTGCTAACTCGTCCAATTTTAAGTGCATCAATGAAATCTACTTCATCCACTAATACTTCATCCCATCTCGTTGTTTCAAGTGTGTTTTGTGCTGATTCCAATTTTCCGCATGGGTCCGGAAGTTCTATTTTTGAAGTTTGGGTTTAGTTTTCTCAGGTATTTGAATTTGAAAATTTTCTAGTTTGCTTCGCACACCGAGAAATATTCTTGAAGGCCAAGAAATGAAAATCCGTAAGTTGTCTGATTGGAGGCTGCCATTCTATCGATTTCAGTTGAAGAATGGTATGACTTGAGAATTGAGTTTTATTTTACTGTGTTAATGTTCAGCAGAGATACTTGTTCATTTTTAGTTATTTGTAATATTTAATTGACAACTTAGCTAGCAGGCAGATTAAAATTGGTCGACAGTCCGACAAGTAGATCTCCTTCAAAAAGCTATCAAGAAATGCAATTCTTATATTCTAATGTATAATGATGAAATGATGCTGTACTAATTAAATAACAAGCACAAAAAGAAATAATAAATGACATTATAGAGGATTAACATTAAGTAAATCTTGAAGCTGAGTACTTCAGCAAGTTAGTTTAGAATAAAAAGTTGCGAGTTCATACTTTTGTGTGACTTAGAATACTCCTCCAAAATGGCACTAAATCGAGCACCATCACTTGCGCTAAGTCGCCCTTTCTCGACTGCTTCAATAACATCAATCTCATCTACCAATATGTCACCCCGAACCACCGCTTCTGCTAAGTCTGCCATCGATATCTAAGTTGGTTTAATAAATATCCATAGAATACCAAAAACGAAAGCAATATATTTTGAAATGATTTGCAATACAAAACTGACCCACCGATTCTGACAAATTTAGAGCAAGAAATGAGAGATAAGTGCTTTTCTTCTTTTTTTATGACAAATCTGACCATAAATAAAGCGAGCTTCTTGAGTTGGAAGGTATATTTATTTATACACCTTCTACAAGTGGTTTAAGTTTTTTGAGATTATTTTGAGATTGATTGAATTAGAAAAGTGCATGGAGTTCAATTTCCATCATATATTCAGGAATTACAGTGTCAAGTATTTTATAACTTATTACTCCAACTGTGGGATACTCAAACATTGATTTTTAAAAACTCAGTGGTCACAGTTTAGATTGGTGAAATTAAGAATTCTCTTATTTTCACTTTTTTCTTGCTGTTAAATCATCATCATGAAGTTAATTTATAAATATAAATGCAATAGAAGTTATTTTCACACAGGTTTTACTTTTTGTATAAATATTTCGAAGCGATTAAGTTTTTATTCGAATTTATAATTCAATTTAACTCATTCTTGCTGGAATTATTGCAACATATTTTTTTCTTTAATTATCTATTTGAAACCTAGACTAGATATTGCAAAAATCTAGTTGATAATATCTATTTCTTGCGGTTTTTTCAATTACATTTTCATTCTTTTTACTGATATTGTAATTTTATTACTGCTTGAAGTGGCACTTGTAAATCTGACTGAACAGATTTCCCAAACAGATCTTTAAAATTTATGCCGAATTATTTCTTTACAAATGTAAGAAAATACAAAAATTTTACTTACTTTAGGGATTTCCTTGCGTAATTTCCAATTTACTAGCGAATCATGTCGTTTTCTGAATGAAATCCGATGTTAACCCTTATTTATAAAACATTTTCCTGATACAACGTCATCAGTTGCTTGCATTTTCTCATATCCATGGTAACGAAATAAATAATCAGCAAAATGTTACACGTCCATTGTTCTTAGCTTTGTTTTGTTTTTTTCTTTTCAGAAAAATGTTATGAATTCGTTTGCAACATTTATAGTATTGTAGCATATGATTGTGGTTGCTTCCAAGATATATATAATTTCTCTTTATGAATAACAAAGCAGGTCCTCGAATAGACTCCACGACACCCACATCATTCTACTGCAGCCCTAAAAGTAAGTTACAAAATAAGTTTCATATTTGTGCTTTTTTAAAAGTCATTAGCTGAAAGTTGCTTACGAGTTCTGCAGTTGAAATTTCATGGCATAGAACTCAGTATATGTACTCTTATAATATAATATCAACTTTGAGAAGCACACGCAAAGAGTTCATCCGTAAATAACCTTCTCGACGCTCTTCATTTTTGAAAAAAAGTTTCGAAAAATTCCAGTAACTTTGATCTAATAAATTGAAGTATTAACGTTTTAGGAACTTAGGTGATTTTTATGGCTTCTATTATGTAAAATTAAGTACTAAATTAAGAATATACATTCCTCAGGTTATCATTATATACCATTCGCCCAAAGGAGATTTCAGTTGCAATCAGCGAATTTTAAAAGACAAACTGGCAATAAGGTGATTTTATAAGATACTTCTAAAATTTTTTCCTGATTGTATTCCCAACATTTTTATTTCTCAAAATGAAGCTAAAATTAAGTGTAAGAAAATTTGAATCATTAAATACGAATTGGTCTATCAAATAAAAAATGCAATTGTAAAAGTTGGAGAACTTTTACAATTGCATTTTTTTTTTCTTTCACTTAATTTTAGTTTGATGTGATGAAACAGCTTAATCCCTATTCAATAAGTGAACATCAAAGTTGTGAGCCGTCCTTATTTGTTTACAAGGCAGGACGCAAGCAGTAAGGATTCACCAGTATTGTCAGCAAGTTCCAAAGCAGCATTTGCAAACACAAATCAACCAAATCGACCAGTAAATTTACAATTCAGAAATAATCAGTCACAACTACCCGGTCAACAGCTAAGTAAGGCAAGCATTTTAACATTGTATCAGCGAACTTGATTGTGTTTCTTTTCTATTTTGAAAATTTTGATGAAAAGACATCCATAAGAATCTTCCAGGAAATGAGAAAAGTAAGTATGATTATCAACGTAACTATAATATCTTCATTTTCACTCTCATAGTATCATTGGAGTAGGGCCGTTCTTATTTAAAAGAAGTTAAAATTCATCTTTTCATTATATTTTATCAAGAAATCAAAGAAATTTAAAGTTTCACTACTCTAGTCGCACCTTTGAAGATCTAGTTTTATAAACAATTTACATATAAAGAACTGATGATTTAGTTTGTTAGACAACAAGTAATGATAAAGCATAGCTGTAGATTGAATTTATATAACAACACCACTTACAGAAATTAATTAATTTACCTGAGTCAAAGATCCGACCTCAAACATTAAAATTGGTTTATAACAATGACGGCAAAAAAATGCAAGAAATATTGGATCAGTTCAAAAGTGAAATCCTTGATGATATCATCCAGTGTGGTGTTTACACGGATAGGTATATTATTCTCTTACTGATGAATCTATTTCTATTAATAATAAATAAAAATGTTGATGACAGTGGCTAGCACTAGATTTGCCTAATCCTATAACAAAAAAGATGCCTGAGTTACGACCTATTTCAGTGTTATCCAGGATTGTATTTCAAGGAACGTAATGGAAAATTCAACTCTTCCAATGGTTTATTTGACATTACTCTTCTTAGAAATTATATTTTCCAATTTTAGTACTATAAAATTGGCATAATATTTTCTTAGATATCCATTACGATAAAAAAGGATATTAATAGCTTCAAAGATTGTGTTACATAAACTCTTGGCTCCACCTAAATTTGAATAGATCAATTAATTGGTAAGTGAAAACTTGCAGGCGAATTTACTGGAAGCAGTTACTGGATTACTCAGAGATATTGGTATATTCAGCATCGAAATGAATGAGATGACTTGGATGGCGAGTTCAGAAGTTGTTATAAATGATTAAATTCTTCATGAATAACTGCGATGCTAAGATCGTCTGATTTTCCGACTGTCATTAATTTCTGTCTGTTTTATATAAATTAATTGCCTTGGAAGTAGTTACACCAGCTTCTGAATGAATTTTCTAATTTATAAGAAATCATTAAATAATAATGTTCAGTACATTTCAGCCTACAGGTGATGGACTGCTTGATTATGAGGACGAAGAGTTTGAGAGTGATGAAGGTGAATCTTTATCTATGATTCGATCTGTAGAAAGTGATTCAGATAAATTGACAAGAGAAGATAAGTCTCTAATATCGAATTTCGGATCAGTATCGGTCAGGACTACTGATTCATTGATTATATCAAGCATTTCTTCCATAACTGATACATCTCATTAAATGCACATGCAATGCAAGAGAATTTATCTGCTCTCCGAAAATATTCTTTATCAAACTGTATGCTGAATTTGCTGAATTCACAGTTTTTAATTCAATAACACTTATTTTTGTTATGATTACAGCACATGTGGTAACTCATGAGCTTTTTGTGAATTGAGAAATGCATATTGTTGAGTAATTATCATAAGGTGAATAAATATTCGTTGATCACCTGAAATTGAAATTTCCAACAAAGAAGCTTCAAAGGAAGAAAATTAACTGAATCTAATGGTAATCTCTATTTTGTTCGATCAAGCATAGACAATTTCCTTTTTTATCTGTTATTATCAGATTCATTGCATGAAGCTAAACCTGTAAATGATAAGCTATCATTCAGTACATATCACATTGACATAAATCAAATACGCACAATAATGGCGGTCTTTTATTCGCGAGGTAGAATATATATTTTTTCATTGAAGAATGGAAAATGTCTTCTAATGAGTGGCAAATGAAAGTATGATAGAGACATAGGAATGTGAAATTATTATGTTCTGCTGTATCAGTCATTCTTACAAAATAATATATTTCCTTTTCCACAGATGCTTATTATAATCAGTGAGTTTTTTGCTTATTATCAGACAGTAGTCATCATTGTTACTCTACACCAATTTAAATCATCAGAAGACAAATGATACTTTCTTGAAAAAATAGCTTGTAAAACAGAATTTGGTGTTCAAATCAATATTTGGAAGATAAAGTGAAATGTGTTTGGTATGGACGAGTAATACACGAATTTTTGACAACGAATTTGAAAGTGCCTTAAATGAGTCTCCTAAGTGCTTTAAGGGAACAATTCTTTCCTTAGATCAATACATGAAGATTAGTCTCTTTTGTTTTGGTTTATTCTCTATCTTTTCATTTTCCTTCTCCCTCTTCTTTCTCGACTTTTCTCCCAGAACTGATGTCAAGCATAATTTCAGCACAGACTTTCGTCATTTGCATAGGTTTGTTGTTCGATATTTGAATTAATCATTGAGATTAATGATTAAGTCTCTAAACTGAATCATCGGAACTTATCGTAAGTTACAGTAACAATTCATTCATATGCTGACTACCAGACATTTTTTTATTTGATGTATAAACATCAAAGATAGGAAGGAAAAGTATCATTGGTGACAATGTGACAAGAGCTATTTATAAACTAGCTTGAAATGAATTCCAGTCTTTTTATTTGTTACTCATTAAATAATGGATCAAAATAAGTTTGAATTATTCTTTTTTTTTTTTTTTTTTTTTACATAAGTAGCTTTTATTGTCAGTGAATAAGCTGTTAATTAAAGTTTTTTGATACTTCTAGATTTTGTTATTATCGCTTACTGTTACTTACCTTTGAAAAATACTGAAAGTGGTGAATTTGGTCTCAAAGACAAATATGGCATGCCGTGCTTATTGCTGAAATTCTCAGCTCAGTTATATAATTTCAACTTAAATGGTACAAATATTGCTGCTAAGGTAATGTGTGTTTCAAATGCTCGAAAGACAGGTAGAGAAAAAAATATTATAATCGGAATGAGAATAGAGAATCTGGAAAAATGACAAATAAATTTTTCTTTCTTTTTGAGATTATTTTTTGATAAATGTCGCAGAGCATTGAACTTACTTTTTTTCATAAAAATTTGCATCTCTTCTTGATTGGTCTAATAAATGCTTCAAATTAAAATGTCTGTTCAGGTACCCGAATTAACATCACCGGAAGTGAAATTGAGTGGATACTGTGGTAGTAGTGATGACATAAACAACAGTAAAGTTGAATTTAAGGCAAGTTGGAAAAGAGAGGGACGGAGGAAGCAACTTATCTTATCCTTCGGAACGGTAAACTTAATGTCTCCTCAAATGAATTTGCATACAAAATATAAATCTTTTTTTAACTCACCCAATAAATGGCCACAAAAATAAGTGAGCACAAAAAAAAATCTTTCTTTCAAGGCTTATGTGGAAGATCCAGTAAATCATCTAAAAATGCTTCGGTGGCAATTGAAAATGGTTACCTATTCTGAATCATATTCGAGTAAGCTAAATCCTTATAAAATCAGTTTTTGCTTTGTTCTTTTTTTTTTTTTTTTTTGTAAATAGGTCTTTTTTTTGTTTTCAAGTTTCTTAAAGAAATCGCACAAATTTTTGAAGGGCAATCGGTCGAATTTTCATCGAAAGAAGTGATGATGAGTGCTCCGCTGAAGCAGAAATTTATTTGCCACGACAAACTAAATCTGACACTTACTAATAGACATTTCAAGGACTATATCCTCGAGCTGAATCCAGAAATTAGTGCGCAACCGTACCAAGTCACTGGCAAACATCCAAACCGTACGCTGTATTTTAGTACTTGTTCCATCATCACTAGCTTTCCTTAGCTCACACATTGAAAAATTTTTTATTTCCAGTATTCATCTGTGGCAGCACACGGCGACGAACGCTGGCGAAAAGTTTTGAGAGTCGGATGACAATTTTTTCTGGAATAGTCCTTTGCATAACATCGATTTCGCTGATAGTTGGATACAGTTTCCGACGACAGTCACATCCTACTAGAAAGAAACTTTATGAATCACTCACTTAATTTTCTCTCTTATCCTTTTTTATAAACATAGTTACGGGATTTAATTTAAACTTTATGGCTGTGAAAGAATGAAATTCAACTGCAAAATAATTTAAATGATGCTTTTGTCTTTTATAAAATATTATTATCACAAGTATGTGCATAAAATGACGCTTATTTTGTTGATAGTTCATCATAGCAATGTTTAATCTAATTTGCAATTTTTCCTTGCAGCGACTTGATAACTTCTATTACAATTTATACTTTATTCACTGAGAACTTCCTAAAGCAAAGCCTTATCGCATTTGTTGACATAATATTTGAAAATTTATGACAGTGAAAGCATCAATATAATTGCAGCATTCGAGAAAGATAACTTAGCAACAAAAAAAAAAAATCAAGTCAGCAATGTAATCGAGTATCAATCACACATTAAAAAAGTAGAAGCAATTTTAGCCTACTGACATACGTGGATTTTCAATTGAAAAACTTTCGTTTCGATTTACTTCCTCCCCTTTCACCTTCTTCTCCTGCGTTACCTATAATATAAATGTGTTTATTTCTCGTAAAAAATAAGTTTATTTGATTTTTATTTAACTTAACAATACTAGCTCTAAAAAAAGACAAAATGATACAATATGGAGCATTCCGTTTCTTCTTGGATTCTAATGAACTCAAAAAATATTTTTAAATATCCATTTTGTAAAGAATGAATAGAAAAAGTCAACAGAGGAGAAGGAAATGGAAACCAAGAGCATATTACAAGAAAAAAGTATTAAAATTAATATTTTGAAATAAGTCTAAATATTTGGGTGAAGAATTTTCCCTAATTGAGCCGATTTGTTTGTGCAATAAATAATGGCATTTTCGAGGATTTTTAAGCTTAAGAATTAATGACTTAGTTAGTTTTGGATATAATAAAAATTCTGAATCCGAATTTTTTTGATTTGATAATTATTCAAAAGAATTTAAAACTTCGATGGTGAGTCCGAAAAAAGTGAAAAATACCTTTGTCACGTGGAAATAACTGCCCGGTTCAGAACCAGAAGGTCGTATCACGAGATCGGCTGTACTACGAGCTTCGCCGGCAATATTTTCGGCAAGACAAGTGAATTGTCCACTATCAGCCATTTCAACTCTAACAATAATCATGGAATGTATACCATTACCCTCCTAAATAAAATCTTGTTGTTCACTAATAGAATCTAAAAGACCTAAGACTTAGTCACACACAAAACAGCAACTGTTCTGTAGTGTGCCTTCTCAACTTCGTCTTATAATCATTTCTAAGTTTTGTAAATCATTGATTTAATCACAGTATTATTGCTACAGTAAAATAGAAAAAGAAACAGCGACTGACATCGATGAGGCGAACTTCATCACAATGTGGAATAACCAGACCATTCCTCATCCAGGTTATTGCCGGTACTGGATCACCAGTTACCTGAACGGTCCATTTCAATTCATCACCTTCTGCGACTTCTTCGCTAATTAATCGCTGTACAAAGTCAGGTGCCACAGTTTGTGCTAAAACGCATAGTGGAAATTTTTAAAAAAATATGAAAGCAGCTCCAAATATAAAAACAATTCAAGCGGCTCAGTACAGGGCAGGTAGACAAAGCGCACTCAATTTATCTTTAAGATTGAGCTAAGTAAATGAATTTAACAGAAGAAAGATTCATTCTTATTAAGCGAGCTCCTAGCTATTTTGTTACCATTGGAATTGACGTTTAACACTAGAATTACATCAGGAAATATAAATTTATCAAATTAAAAATTAGGAAAATAAAGAAAGTGTTATAACATACGCCTGACAACAAGTTGGGCACTTGATGTGGCGACACCGGATGAGTTCTTGGCGGTACACATATATTTGCCGGAATGTTCAAGCTGTGAAGTAGGAAAGGTCAATGATACATGACCACCTATGTTGGAGAAAGTTAATTCAGGATTGGTGGTTTTAGATATTGGAACACCGTCTTTCTTCCAAGTAACTTCAGGACTAGGCCATCCTTAAAATATTGCATAGACTACTAATATATTAAAATTAAGACTAAAGACCAAGAATTTAAATCTGATGCTATGTACAGAAAGAACCAATTAGTGATAAAGAACGAATAATTTTTGCTCTTTGAATTTCGGAAGCCAAAATAATCATGGTCTATCAGCTTCATATATGTTTTGAGACTGATGGTAGGAAGTAGAGAAATAATTCTACTCATTTTGAAAAGTAAAAAAAAAAAAGTGAAAAGATGTGGTATGGGATTGCCTTCTGTGACATTCCACGAAGTAGCCACGTTGCCCAATTAAGAATAAATTGAAATCTTAACATTTTAAGAGTATGCACAAACAATTTTTGCTTTTTCTGCAATTTCTGCTTGTAAATTATTAAAAATATCCATTGTATTCCTCTATTATTGCACCCCACATATTATCGTTATTATAAATCTTCTCTCCCCGATATAAAAGCAAGTCTGTCCAGACAAGGTTTTATCCTCGATAAGCTCAAATTCCCATGTATCTGCATAAACTGCTAAACTTTATTATTAACAAGGAGGTGCATTGTCATTCTAAATTCACATGTAGCTTCATAAATACATCTTTCCTTTATGCATTTACATACTGGTACTGAAAGCTATTTTATCTTCTGAATATTTTAAGTTGAAATAATCAAATGAGCATAAATTTGCAGAAAAAAATCTAGAAATTTTTTTACCGATGACAATGCCTTGGAACTTAGCTTCATCACCGCAAGCAGCTACTGCAGACACCAAAGTCTGCGTGAAATGCGGCGGTCGACCAAGTTCTCGGTTCTCTTCAATATCAAAACGATCCGACAAATTGTGCTAAAAGTGAAACAGTGTGCATCACTAATAAAAGACATATAACGTACAAGCTAATAGTCCTCTCGTGAATTTGATTTGCTACAGGAAATTATTTATCATTCATAAATACAAATACTATTTAATATAATCGAAGTCAATATTGAATGAAATAATGAAGGATGATAGATTCTCAAACATAATGAAATAGGTTCAGTAATTAATTTTCTTTGGAAGTGTGGCCTGAAATGATTAAGAAAGGACAGTCGAAAGTAACACGAAATGTATTCAGTAAGAAATTGAATATCCAATAAGTTTGTGGATGGATGACTCCATCAGAAAATCTTAAATAAAATGAAGCGAACCGGAAAAATTCAAAAGTAGGAGTGAGATCCCCTCAAGACTGATCTGTAAAAATAATAGCAAAAACAGTCGTTAATATCAATTTTGCCTAAAAATATGTTAGCAAGTAAAAAAAGTTTAACCTATTGGACGTCCAAAAGCTTAAACTGAATATGATTACCAATTTAACAAATTAACGAAATAAATGTCCTTACACTTATTCCAAATTAATTCATCTCACAATTTATTCATTCATTTCTATCCTTTTATTTTGATAGCAGTTATGTGAATAAATCGAAAAATAATATTCCTAAACAAATGCCACCAACTGTGTTCAGAGTTTGCTGATGGAATTAATTTAAAAAATATAAATCCATCTCAGAACTCTTTCACATCAGTTTCACAAAAACTTCCACATCAATTTCAAGAAATACCAATATCAAAATAAAGTTAAAACTGACAACTTCAAGTTAGTCAAGAAAAGTTAAATAAGTTGAAAGAGTTGGTAAGGGTGATAAATGCATCTGAGCAAGTGATCATGAAATTTAGGGATGAAAAAACAGTAAGCAGTAACTTGATTATTTAAGTTTGAAAAAAAATCAAACAATATATTGGCGAAATCATCCACGAAAGTTAATAAAAGATACTTTCTGTCGATCTATACTTACTGATGATTTTTTTAAATTAAACTTCTTAATATATTTCGAAGTCAAATCTTACTTGCTGGGAACATGTTGTTTGCAATTGTTGTTTCTTAGCCGGGGGAGGAGAAAGAAATCGTGTGGAATGTTGTTTGGCTACTAGGCGACGTTGCTCCTCTTCACGCATCCTCAAATTACCATTCACATACTCCAACTGCAAAGAAAAAAACACTTGAAGTTTTAAATTTTCAATCACATCAATAATTCTAATCCAAAGGCCAAATTAGGATTAGTTTGATAAGACAATTCAATTATTTGGTAATGTATATTAAATTTCGAATTTGGTTTGTTAATATATGCTCTAATTAATTCAAATTCAGTAAAAAAAAGCGCTGTGGTGGAACGTGGCTTATTCTTCATAGATTTGCAATGTCGCACTGAAGTCACTATGACCACTCGTTATTCCGTGTAGCAGTAAATTTCCAGTTACAGCTTGCTAGAAGAATCATACAATTTTTGAGCCATCTGGCTCTCATCTATCAGCATAGCACATCATTCCCAAGCAGAATATTTTTAATTGTTACTTCCAGAGAACGAAGCACTAAGATCAGCCAAAGGAATCTATATGAGAAATCTTAAATGTAATACTCTATGAGAAATTTCAAATAATTGTAGAAAGTAAGCAGAACTCTTGTTTAAATTCTTTCTGACAAGGCCATAATAGCAAACGCTGTTCATCGGTTTCTTAACCGGCCAAAAAAAGGTTAGTGATTGAGAATAACTTTTCATTGGACGTGACTTAACTGAATAAATATGTCTTGTCATTCTCAACTCAGAAATCAAATCAAAATAGCGTTAAAATAAAATTTCAAGGATAAGATTTCATCTATAGCATATAAAATTTGTAAATAATAGCAAAAGTTCCTTTTACTGGAAAAAATTTTCCAATAAAAACAGAATATTGGAAAAATGAAAATAAATTTTCTAATAATTCCCTTTCTCCTCCATAATAATGCCATTACTTCAGACTTTTGCATTGCAAAAATTTCTGCTTTATTCTCGAGAAAAACTTGGTCCTTTTGAAAAAAAAAAGAGACCTGTTGTGAGAAATATTCATCGGGTACCCGTTGTTCGTACTCATAAGCACCATACTCTTCGGTTACATGAACATGCTACAGAAAACAACAGCCAATTATAACCAATAAAAACAACGTTA